TTCATACAAAGGAGAAATTATGTTTTATTCAGTTTGGAAGATCCTTATCAGTTGGTGAATACACGGTAAAGATTGTTGCAACAACAATGATTGTTGAGGTGGAAGCATTGGTAATTGGTGGACGATAGTGGTTGTGGAGAACGTGGTGGCGGTTGATAGTGGTGGATGAGGTAGTTGTGGCCTATGTGGTGGAGGTAGGTTTGATGGTGGGCAGTAGTGGTGGTTATGGTGGTGGTGATGGTGGTCGACGATACCAGTGGTGGTGGAGATGGATGGCTATAGTTGTGGTTGTGGAGGACATGAATATGGTAGATAGTAGTTATGGTAGTTGATAGTGGTGGCCGATGATGGCAGCGGTAGCCCGTGGTAGACTGTGGTAGTGGTAGCCAATGGTGGAAGTGAGGTGGCCCATAGTGGTGGCGATGAAAGGTATTGGTCGGTGGCCGACGATGATTGTGGAGGTGGTGGAGGAGGTTGTAGCAGAAGAGAAGGTGGAGGTAGCCAACGGTGGTAGTGGTGGTGGCAATGGACGGTGGTCTTTAGTGGACAATGATGGATGTGGAGGTGGTGGAGGAGATTATAGTAGAAGAGAAGGTGGGGTTGCCAATAGGGGTAGTGGTAGTGGTCAGTGGACGAAGATGGTTATGGAGGTGATGGAGGAGGTTGTTGTAGTAGAAGAGAAGGTGAAGGTGGCCAACAATGGTAGTGGCGATGGACGGTGGTGGTAGGTGGTCGATGGTGGTTGTGGAGGTGGTGATAGACGGTGGTAATCGATGGTCGATGGTGGTTGTGGGGGTGGTAGAGAAGAGGGAGGTCGCCAACAGTGGCTACCGGCGGCGGCGATGGCCGCAATTAGCGGTGGTGACCACTAAGCAAATATCATGTTAAGGTTATATCAAATGAGAGTTAATTATTAATACTTTAGTTTTTGTCTCATCTTGTTCCACCTATTTTGGTGGAACAAGAAAAAACTTTTTTGTCTCACGATGTCCCACCTTGTCGCAGTTCTTGTCCATGTCTCATCAAACGTGGGACAATGAGTTCTTATCCTGTTTCATGTCGTGCCAAGCGTGGAGCACTAAGTTTTGTCACATCCTATTTTATGTACCAAACGCAGCCTTAGCACCGTATCCCATTTTATCCAAACCCATTTTTATGAGAATCCATCCGCACACAAAGAAAATCCAGGGATTAATTGTAATTTACTATAACCTTATTAATTGCAATTATAACATAAATTATCTATACTATATTATAAAGCATTTGACAAAAACTCTTAAAAACCATTTTTTTATGCATGAAGTACCGTATATTGATGCATATTACTTAAAAATTCAAGATTACAAGTAAACTATGCATAAGTACAACTTATTAAAGCTCCATGTTTGAATTCGTGTAACTAACTGCAGATAAACATAATCAAATAAAGGATAAACATCTCATTTTAAAATATTAAAAATATAAAATATAATTAGGATAATTATCGAGTTTTAACAAAATAATTAACTATTATCTTTATAAGAAAATTATATTATTAAACCAAATATAAATTACTTCGTTATTGTACCTAAATTAAATTATAATAAAAAATTGAATTAAAAAATTACACAAAAAAATAAGGAATTTTAAATAGTTAATTTGATACTAATATCAATATATTTTTGTCAAATTCTTATGATATCTTCAAACATATATTTTATTCAAAAATAAAAACATCATCGCTTTCTCAAAATCACATAAAGCCATATTATAACATCGACTGAGATAAAGAATAAAATGAAATATTAAAATCACGATGTATCTCGCTGCATTGCGCGAGTATGCTTCTATTATGGATAAACGCAATGGAAAAAAAATCGACAACAGTGAGAAGATTAAAATGGTTTATGATGACAATCGGAGTTCGAGGTCGGGAAGTGAATAAATTAACCAAAGCGAATGTCTTCGTAATAGATTTTTATTTTTATTAGATTCGTTTTAATCGAAATTATGTTCATTACGATGTGTTGTGTTTTTTATACTTCATCTTGTATTGATAACTTTTTTCTTTAATTGCACCACGTGTTCATAGCATAGATGTTATGTATTCATATTATTTCTACGATATTCTTTCACTATGTGGCTTGTTCATGTTCATCATTCGTTCATACGTATTATGTTCATATTTTATTCATATTGTCATATTGCCGACTTTTACGAATCATGAACCATTGTGTTCATGTTACTTCTAGCGTCGGGGTTATGTGTTCATATATTTTATACGATATGAACAAGGGATGAACAACCTCATAAGACCAGAAACATATATGAACAAAGGGTGAACCTTAAACGGTGTGGATGCAATGCATGTATAAAACTCCAATTGACAAAGGATCGCTCTTGAATGTGTTTATAATGAAGGAACTATTGTTCACAAGCTGTTCATATTGTGTTCGTACCTGTTTTTTTATTTATTCCATTTTGTATAACGGTTATTCTTATTATATTTATAAATGCTATCAGTCCAAGTTCATATATATGTCAATTTTTTGTTCGTATTTGACACAATGGTTCATATATATATATATATATATATATATATATATTGAAAGGTTCATTTGAGAAGTGGTAAACTTGAATTCGAAACACATGAGCCACTTTTAGAATATGTTGATGTTCTATCTGAACTCTTCCATTTCGCTAGTAGTACACACACACAAGATGTTTGAAATAAATCTCATTTGCCATGAAATAATCGTTCATACATTTAAACTTCGTACTATTATCGCTATAAGCAATTTCAAGTTTTGAGAAAACTATGCATTGTTCAATCATGGCAAAAAAAAAACGACATAAACATCTTAATTATCAATTAACAAATAGACCACACAACTCAAAAATAATCATCCATGATAGTTGGAAAATAACGAGCACCAGAGGAGGAAGTTTCATCATACTGACTCAATTAATCATATTGTATCAATTTAAAACAGGGAGTTGATTTATTTTAACTTGAAGAAAATTTATCTCTAGAACGTTTAGCACATTAACGAATTTCACATATTTTATTTAACCGCCCCTATTATTGCTAAAAAGGAAGTAACTTTACCAATTCTTTCAGAAGAATGACCTAATCGACTATGCCATAGCTCTAACGGCATCTACTTATCAATTGCAATTACTTGCTCTTTCAATCATTGACGAATGTAGTAAAGTTCATCCTGTCTCTCACTTGTGTTAATCACCTCCCTCGAATGAGAGTGTGTATGGCACATAAGTTAGGGTTAAATTAGACAAACCAATTGAGATTATCATTAAGTTGTGAAAACTGAAATCAGATTGCAATTGACTTTGGAAACAAAAAGAACATGTTGGGGGGGGGGGGATAATAGTATTTGTCAATCTCATGACCCCATCCTTGGTAGCGTCGTAGTCACCATCGCTTTGACCATTTAGAAGCCGCACTGGATATGGCAAGACTTGTTTGGCATCAATTAAACAAGATGTCAGTTTAGAGCATACCAAAGAGTCATTGCCTCAACATCATCCGGGTTATTGGTACAACTTAGGGGCTGTTTGTTTACGTCTGAATGATACCATTAAGACTTTAAGGTCTGATTCGGTCAGACATTTTCTTGTTTGGGTAGGTTTTTAAAAAGGTCTGAATGAAAACTTTACATCTGATTCGCTCCTTCACCCACAACCCCTCCATAYGATTCAGATGKGAAATTTTGACAGGTTTGCCCTCCATATTTTTTCTCTAATCATCRTTCCAGATCTGGCTCCATCGATTTCTCCAAGGGACGCTTCTGTTCTATCGATYGATTGTAGGAATCGCACCAGCAAGACCTTCTTCTCGTTCACCATTCTCGCCTTCTTCATCCTCGGTCTGACCTTCTTCTTGTTCACCTGCAAGACCTTCTTCTCGTTCTATCGATCGATTGTAGGAATCGTTCACCTGCAAGATTTCTCCAAGGGACGCTGCTGTAAAGCTTGGCACAACTGCCACCATCGTTGAARACAAAAGGGAGAAGAAAAAAAAAATCTCRGCAAATCTAAAACAAAGGGGAGAAGAAAAAGAAAATCTCAGCAATTTTCTTGGTACAACTCCAGATGCTTCTTCTAGGTTGATGGAGAAACCAACTTTGAGATGACAATCCATGGTTTTATGTATTCCTTCCCACGGTTTTGGTACAATAAGTAATATTATAATATTGATGATAGTGGGGTGAGGTGGTGTTGGATTGTGCTTCCATATTTTCTATCTTCCATTTAGAAATTTCTTTCAAAAATGTTGTCAAATATTAATTTTTATTAAACATAAGATTAAGGGTAAAATGGTAATTTTATGTCATTCAGACGGTTAATTCAGAACAGTTTCCAAACAACTTTTTTCTATCTGATACTAAATCATACAGAGTCTCTTAATCATTCTGACCACTTAATCATACTGCACTAAACCATTCAGCAACTGCCAAACAACCCCTTAGTTTCATAGGAGATCAAAGGTTCAAAACTCATCAAATGTGAATAACGTGTATGAGTACTTATCATGTATAAATATTATATACTTAAAAGAACATGATCAGAGCATCCACTATCAATTTTCAAACAAAACTTCGATAGATCTTGAGACGGGTTTCGTCCATGACTTAAATCATGTCAATTCTGGGTTCAATCTCTTGGTCTTGACCTCGATGAAACAAAAAATAACATATTTATTCAAAATAAAAATAATATAAAACCTAAAATAATCTTCCATATACAGGTAAAATTTCTTAAGGATTGGTTTCCTAATTTAATTAGTAATTTAAAATAAATATTATGAATTTTATTTATTTTATTGTTGTCAAATGATTAAACTCACCGATCTTTAAAATTATTTTTCACATTAAAAACAAAATAATTATCATAAAAATGAGGATCAAAATTGAAGAGAAAATAAAGGGATTGATGGTCAATAGACGCGGGGGGGGGGTCTCCAGTCTCCTTTAGAATCCAAACAAAAAAGTCGAGTTTCGTAATCATAATCATCATCGAATACCCAAATTCCTCTTCCATTTATTGAAGACCCATCTCCCCAATCGTCACAGACATCTGCCATAATCGCTAATTATCTTGTAACACGAAACCGTACTCCCAGTTGATGTTCTAAATACTGTAACCCACTATGTTTTGATCCAACCAAATCGGCTACAAGATCTCCATTATCGGCTTCAAGATCCGTAAGATTCTCCATCACTTTGATCTGCTTTTCTTCTTGTTATTACCTTATACCTAATTGGGTTCAACTTCTGTATTGTACTTAGTGGAGTTTGAATATTTTAATCGGTTTGAATGTCGTTCTAGAGAACCGAACCGAATCGAATCCAATAATATCTTTTTCATCTGGTTAAGGATTCTACACTCCTTTCGGTGTGTGGTTGAATGTCCTTTTACTCCGTTCCAGATCTTAAAGATATTCATGGTTGATGAAGTTTTTCCGAGGTTTTAGGAATCTTTTGTTTGTGTGGTAGTACTAGAGTGCTTCTAATTATAGAACTTGATTAGTTTAATGGCTGCCCAGAACTCAAAGATCTTAACTTTGAATACCCTTTTCTCTCTGACTGCCTATAAATTCTTCATATGCTTGTATTTTTTCTTATAAAATGCTAAGCACGAAATTATGAGATATTTAGAACAGGGGAAAGGTTATCTAACATGCTTATAAAGTGTTCGATGAAACGACCAGTGTTAGAATAGCTATTGGTTTACTTTATAACCAGTACTCGTAGATAAACTCACAAAGGACTCTTCTTTATAGGTTGATCAGGCATGTAGACATAGTTATAGAAGATCTAGAAGACACTTTGTGGCCTGTAAATCAAACTTAGATTCCGAAAACTTTTGGGCAACTGCATTTTAATTTCTTGAATAAATGTTGCAGGTCACTCATGGCAACTAAAGGAAATCCAGGAGACAATAGAACCAGGAGGTCCTTTTCAATATTTATAGTAGTTGGTTTATGTTGCTTCTTCTATCTACTGGGTGCGTGGCAAAAGAGTGGGTTTGGTAAGGGAGACAGCATAGCTCAAGAGGTAACAAAAAGCGCTGATTGTAGTGTTCTTTCCAATCTAAATGTTGAGACCCATCATGGTGATGGCATGAAGAGAACCAATGATCTACAACTAGAAAACAAGGTTTTCCAGCCATGTGCTGACCGGTTCATTGATTACACACCCTGCCATGATCAAATGCGTGCAATGACTTTCCCTCGAGAAAACATGAACTACAGGGAGAGACATTGTCCTCCTGAGAACGAGAAGCTGCATTGTCTTATTCCGGCCCCCAAAGGGTACGTGACTCCATTTCCATGGCCCAAGAGCCGTGATTTTGTACCTTTTGCCAATGCACCCTACAAGAGCTTGACAGTCGAAAAGGCGATACAGAATTGGATCCAATATGAAGGCAATGTTTTTAGGTTCCCAGGTGGAGGAACACAGTTTCCTCATGGGGCTGATGCATATATTGATCAATTGGCTTCTGTCATCCCAATAGGCAATGGAATGGTTAGAACTGCACTGGACACTGGCTGTGGGGTAAGTAGAGTTTTTGTTTTCTCAATGGTTCCTTATGCAACTTCTGCTTACATTTAGTTTTAGTCTTACATTGGCAAGACTTTGACCATTCATCTTCTATATATGTTGGAACCTATCTTCCCTTCTCAATATGGTATCAGAGCCAAAGGCTACTGGAGTCGACACTGGGGCAATCTATACCTGTCTATACCCCTCACCCATCTAGCCATCTCTCTACACTCTGGGACAATATGTGCCCATCTAGCCTCCATTGGAGGGGGTGTGTGTTGGAGTCCCACATCGGTTAGACTTTAACCATTTCTCCTCCATATATGTTGGCTCTTTTTTTATTAACCTGGATATCCAACCTACTATGCGAGCCGACTAATCCCAGGGCGACCATTTGCTTTGTGGGTAGCCCGGAGTCACTGCATTTGAACCTCCGGCCACAAGGGGATTTTTATTCCTCCTTGGATTGGAACCTGGTACCTCCAGGCACTTTTGACCTCTGGAGCCCAAGCTCAAACCAATTAGGCACCATCCTTGTGGTTATCAAGGGCTCTTTTGGAGAGTAAACTAATGGGTTCCACAGATTCTCACACATCTAATCTTCATGCTTTTTTGATGCTTTTGTGAAAATATCTTGTACTATATTCGTTCTTATTGTTTTAGATTGTTAAATCTTTTGGTGTGCATAGGTTGCAAGCTGGGGTGCATACCTATTTAAAAGAAATGTGATAGCCATGTCTTTTGCACCAAGAGACTCACATGAAGCACAAGTTCAATTTGCTCTCGAAAGAGGTGTCCCAGCAATCATCGGCGTTCTTGGAACTATAAAGCTTCCATATCCTTCGAGATCCTTTGACATGGCTCACTGTTCTCGGTGCTTGATACCATGGGGCGGAAATAGTAAGCTCCTAAATTCCAATCTTTGTTATAAACAATGGTATTAGAGATTCATCCCTAGTAAATTTACATGGATATAAATAGCTCAAAATAAAATTTGTGTTAGATGGAAAGTACATGATGGAAGTTGATCGCGTCCTGAGACCTGGTGGCTACTGGATTCTTTCTGGTCCTCCGATTAACTGGAAGGCTAACTATAAATCATGGCAACGTCCTAGAGAGGAACTTGAAGAGGAGCAGAAGAACATCGAGGAGATGGCTAAACTTCTTTGTTGGGAGAAGAAATACGAGAAAGGTGAAACTGCTATATGGAGGAAGAGAGTCAATGAAGCCTATTGTCAAGAACGAAACTCTCATGTTACAATGTGTCAATCCACAAATGCAGATGATGTCTGGTATGGAAGCTGATACCAAATTCAATTTTTTCAACTTCCATGCACACACACATGAGACACAAAAGCCTTTGTTAGGCCATGTTTGGCAGCCATAAGCTAGCTTAAAAACAATATTATTTTTTTGAGCTTTATAAATTCGGCTTGTTTGATTAGCCATAAGCCTGTTGATAAGCTAGTCTTTTTTAAACACTACTTTAAGTAGGCTTTAATAAGCTCCAGGGGCTTTTTTCTTTTCTAATGATGCCCATTATCTTGTTCGAATTAATATTTTCACATGTCCAGGATATTTTACATATGTCATCTGCTTATCGGCTAATAGCTAGCTTATAGTCGGTAACCAGCTTTTCAGCCAACAACTAACTTCTTATTAGCCAATAGTTAGCTTATCAGCTAGTTTTCCAAAGATATCCTTAATGACCAAGCAACCTTTTGTGTAGGTACAAGCAGATGGAAGCTTGTGCAACCCCATATCCGGAGACAAACAACAAAGATGATGTTGCTGGTGGGGAACTAAAACCATTTCCAGAGAGACTCAATGATGTTCCTCCAAGAATCGCCAGTGGGTCCATCCCTGGAATCTCTGTCGAGTCATTCCTAGAGGACAACAAATTGTGGCAGAAGCATTTCAAAGCTTACAAGAGGGTGAATAAGATAATTGACTCGGGGAGGTATCGTAATATTATGGATATGAATGCAGGTCTTGGAAGTTTTGCTGCTGCACTCGAGTCTTCCAAGTCATGGGTTATGAACGTAATGCCGACCATAGCCAAGAAAGACACTCTTGGCGTGATTTTTGAGCGAGGCTTGATTGGCATCTATCATGACTGGTAAATCTTGAAACCTATATGCTTCTGCTATTGTATTTTTGAGCGAGGCTTGATTGGCATCTACCATGCTTTTGCTTTTGAAAACATGTGAACCAACTATTCGTGCTTTATTCATGATGAAAGTTATTCATAATGGAAAAGCATATCATATAATGGAAGTGCATAATATTCATGATGAATAATAATAATTATTATCCAGGGTTATTCGTCGATCCTCAAAATATTTATGGTTCTCAATTGAACTTCCTATGTAAAATATTATGGTTCACTTATTCTTGCAAACTATACATGGACGTCCTCCCATTATACACTCCTCTGGATCTTGTTTTTCAGGTGTGAAGCCTTCTCAACTTACCCAAGGACATATGACCTGATTCATGCCAACGGTCTTTTCAGCTTGTACAAAGACAAGTAAGTTGTTTATTCATCAAGATTTAGTAAATATCGTCTGTTTGCCTTAAAAAACCAAACTTTTTGTAATCTGAATGGTGGACATACATGTAGGTGTAGTTATGAGGACATTCTTTTAGAAATGGACAGAATTTTACGACCCGAGGGTAGTGTTATAATCCGTGACCATGAAAAAGAAGTGAAAAAGGTGAAAAGTATCCTTTCTGGCATGAGATGGAACACAAAAATGGTGGATCATGAAGATGGCCCTCTGGTCCCTGAGAAGATACTATTTGCTGTCAAACAGTATTGGGTTGCAGGTGACAATAACTCCACATCTTCAAGATGATCGATGAAGACAATGGATTTAAATGTCTTTTTTTAAAAGGTATTGTTTGTTTCTGTTAGCAACCATTTTAATTATGAGATTGAATGTAGTTTCTTCAGATTTAGTGGCGACTTTGGTATAGGGTAATTCGAGGTTCTTTGTGTAATTTACTCTATTGTATTCACGCCCTTCTCAATTTTGATTTTATTTATATCTTTCAACCATTGTTTTTGGGGTCACATTATTAATTAATTATATGTTATTATTCTGAAAAAATGTTCAGGATGTCATACAGAGAGAGAAAGACAAGTTCAAACGAGAATAGTGAGCATATAAGATGACAGAACAACCAAATCACACATGTGACCTTGGCTGCTACCTAGGTCATGGGCTATGTTGCCGGCATGCACTTGTGTTAACCATTTCCTATAATTACATGTGATTTTACCGTTCTCGTGTTCTGTTATTTCGACCATGTTCTTATTTGATTCTTAGTTATGGGGACAAGTTTAGTTCGGAACCTAATTTTCATTAAGAATCAGGGGACCATCCACAACCTAACATTGCATGTGGCATATTTGTTAGAAATATAGACGTATTATTTATCATGAATATTGTAACATATTCATTGTAAATGTGTGATTCATGATGAATAACTTATCCATACTTATTTTGAATATGTGATTAATGACGAATAATACTTATATATTCATAATGAATATGGTGTTAATAATGAAATATTCATCCTAAAAAAGAACACTTAATGTGTCTGGTCGGTTCCTGGGTTCCTAACAATCGCCTGCACACCTCTAGGCCCTCATTTGTATCATCACATGTGATAAGGGTGTTCTCGATGTGATATTATAATCCATCATTTATGATGCACATGTGATACTAAATTAGAGATGTCGATGATCTTTGGAGCAACCTTGGTCATGGGTCAAGTTACTGTACTGGTTAAGGATTGGTCACAGGTTTCCATCAATGGAGGAACATACAACTAAGCAAGAATGTTTGATCACCCTGTAATCAATGAAATCATCCACATTCTCTATCGATTGCACTTGTTCGTCGTGGTCCATTCGAATGGCTCGATGACCCTTAAATTAAATCCCCAGATGGAACCACTTGCTCCAACCATGGCCACCAACACCTCCCACTCCTTTTCATTCTATTCTTCAATAATAAGCATATATTTATATTCAGATGCTATCACATTTATAACACATCTACTCTATTAACTTCTTCCATATATCAAAAACCTCAAGCCACAAATTATCATCATACCAGCACTAATACACCGGACCCATTACAACTCTTTCTATCATTCTTTTTCCCTTTAAAAGAAAAAGCCTAAAACCATCTAGAATGCAAGTTTTTTTTCTCTCCTATTCATAAACTTCATCCCTCAATTAGAACAAAAAGCTAAAAAACGCGATGGGAACCGAAGACGACTTGAATGATCTTCGTGTAGCTTCGTTTTCTTGCTACCTTAAACCCTTAGAGCGTGTGGTTAATGTCTATGATGGTGGTGATCGTAAGTTCTCAGCAGACATGGCGGTTTTGGATCTGCAGCGGCTGAAACCGAGCGTGTTTGTGGCAAGAACTCCGAGTATTACTTCTGAAACAAGCAGTTGGAGCAACAGCCAGGGTACGCTGCTGCAACGGAATACGTCTCAGGTGAAGCCGAGTGGTCGAGCGTTCGGTAAGCGGTTCTTCCACGCTTGTACAGGGCCGTGTTCGACTAGAAAAGATGTTTATGTCCACCAAAGCATCAAACAAGGAGATCAGTTTGCATTCCCGGTTCTGAATAATCCCACCATCGAGATCTTGACAGCGAAAAAGGAAGAGGAAAAAGTGCTCGAAGAGTTGCCTAGGATGTCGCTCGAAGTTTTTGGGTCAGGAACCATAAGCAAAGGTGACATAGCAAAAAACCTGGTAAGAAAAATGTCGATTTTGACTTGGGATGCAATTCCGAAGAGCAAAGAGAGTCTAATATGTGACGATATGGCTAGCGAGGCTAGCTCGGATTTGTTCGAGATAGAGAATATCTCTAGAAGCGGATGGCAACCCGATCAGTCAAGCTGTGTCATGAGTCCATCAACGCAGTATGCTCCTAGCGAGGCGAGCATTGAGTGGAGTGTTGTCACAGCAAGTGCAGCAGAATTCTCATCTGTTTGTTCCGGATATGATCACGAAAAACATGCAGCTTATAATACAACCTCCAACAATAATAGAACAAGAGACCAAACCAAGATCGAGCCAGCAAAAAAGTCCCAGAAAACACGGGCTAACGGTTTGTTGGGATGCAAGAGTAACAAATCTGTGAAAGTAGCCGAACCCGTGTATAGAAATAGTACTACCGATAAACCGAAACATTAGATACAACCGGTTGTACGTATGATCTATGCGTATTAGAAAGTTGTATTATCTGTACGTACGTGTATTCTGTAATAAGTTCAATTAAGGTGTGTTTTGGAATGGATCAAAGTGTGTGTTTTTCCAATAGTAAGTGACCATTCTTGTCTAGAAAATATCGGAATGGAAGTGCAATTGGAGTCTGGACCATATCTTTTTGGTGCTTATTGCTTTAGGTTTGAAATAATTGATGATTGAGCTAGGAAGAGGGCCTACGACCATCGACCAATGCTTCATAAAGTGACGACATTTATGTCTTGTTGCCGGCGATGTTGATGCCGGTTTCCTTTTCTGATCAGTTTGTGTCGGAAGTTGAACCAGCAATCATCGGAAAAAGTACACGTTTTAGGTGATTATACATGTAGCTGGGGTTTGATCTTCGAGCCATGGAGGAAGAAGGTGGGATCCCCAGAAAACATTGCTAAAATATATAAAATTTGGGCTCAAATTATTGGGGGTCTTGTTTAATATCTACAAAGGATAAATGGATCGAGAAGCGTGTTGATGGAATGAAATGGACAAACGACTTTTGAATGTCAACCAAAAGGGAGGTTGAAATGGGGTATATGCAGCATAAAGATGAGACCTCATGTTTCTGTCTGTCTCAAATCTTTGCACTCCCCAAATTGCCGTTTATGTCAATCAAATTAACACCAACGCAACGCATGATACAGAACATGGATCACTGTTCCATATTTGACATAATTGATTTTTATGTAGAATAAACATTATATTTATCCATGAAACTTTATACTTGTAACATCCGTTATTTTATGCTAACCACGACATCCGTTATATTTACTCAGTAAAGAACAGATTCAATCATTAATGACGCAGATCATAACCGAAGGACAAGATTGAAGACATATTAATGATCCAGCAGTTATCATCATTAAAAGACATCAAAACAGCCATTTCAAAGTGCTTGCATATAAACCAAAGTTGTATTCAATCACAGGGACACAAAAGAAGTACAAGCTACACCAAGAAGCTACAATCAAAACCCCTTAGAAGCACTCTCGACCGTAATATGCTAAACACTGGTAATTGCTCTCAAGATTGAATGATTTCATTGATGAGCACGAAGGCCTTTTAAATACACAAAGGAATAACAGAAAATACGAACAATAAGGAAGGACTAAATTGAAATACATAAGCAGCTAAAG